TCCCAAAAACATTGTAGTGGAAAAAGTCACACGTCGTTATCAATTGGTCCTATTTTCTCTCTGTTCGTATCAGTGCGCGCCGTCATTCAGACAGCGAGCTCAACAACAGCCATGTCTCCCTCCGCGGCGGAGGGAGACATGGCTGTGAAGAGATTCATGTCAAAAATACCGAACTATCGCTTTAAAGGATCATTTCTTTTGGTCACTGTACCATAGAGGTGTTGAAGTGAGCAGGAATGGGAGATTGGTTGAGTAGCGATAGCGTTCGAGTTTCATCTGTCAGAACAGGAATACTGCCAAACTTCAGCTGTGTGATGGGAACCCAAACGATGGGTCCCTGTCCGATACACGACAGAACAACCTCCTGAGACAGAACAGAAAAAAGGACATTTGGAGAAATTATGTACTTGGCAAAAAGTCCTAAAGTTGCAGAAGCAATGACATCCTGGTGGAAATCACTGACCAGAGGCTGATAAAGGCTGCCAAACACCACGATGCGTAGAGAGGTCTGTAGCCTTCCTACAGCATGAGCCGTCATGGAGACAAGAATCTCCTTTGAGCTACCAGGAGGAACAATTCCTCTGGGAACAGAGCTGCCGCAGGTTAGTGTTGTACTTTCCTCAGTTTCCTAAAGATGCGGCAAAGAAAGGTATTCAGGTTTTAGTATCTTTTGTAACATATTCTGCATCGAATTAAAACCTTTTAAAGGAAAGGTCCGGTCAAATACAGAATTCAAACCTCTGAAATCACTTTAAATATGAAATTATTGCATACTGTTCAATAAATGATAGTGTTTCTAATTAAGAGTAATTTTAATTGGAATGTGCTTTACTAGAGACATCATGTTTTTCACAGAACACAACTTCCACCTAATGGTTTGTGATGTCACATTGTGGTTTCGGCTGTTGATCAAGACCCAGTGCTGTATCTGGTGTTTATCACAATGTGCTATTATCCAAGTCATCTTGAAAACATTCTTCTTCCAAATGTTGGCTGCATATTATGTGTTTCTTCTCTGGCCAGAAGTTCAATGGCAAATCCTCCCTCTTCAAGTTGGCAATCCAACGATGAACCCGTCCATGGAGGATTATAAATCAGAAAGGTGAAACAACTAATTATTTTTTCACTTTTACCCGATGTATTCCAACATCCAACTGCCATGCTCATGGGCATTGTCAGTTTAACTATAGCTATGGTGAATTTTAATGGTGAATTCTTCACCTTCTGGAAATCTTCAATAATTGTTGTTGATTATAGATGTGTCTACTAGTTCCCATTGATTTTGCTTGTAAATCGGGGAGAATGGCGCTAGGCTTACCGCACTGTGACGTCACTGCCAGAAGAAGTCAGGAGTGAGGTGTTACTATATTTTGGCAAAAACTGCCACTCTCTGACTCAGTGATTGCGATGAAAATTATTGTTTGTTTTTTTTACTGATTAATGCTAAATTGATTAAATCGCTGCAAAAGTATTAGTTTTAGGTATAAATAATGACCCATTGATCGTTCCTTGCTGACCGGACTTTTCCTTTAAAAGGCAGTAGCTAAACATATAAGGAGAAATTGGAAGTTTATTGGAAATCAGGTTCCCGGTTGATCAACCCTTAGTGGCTCAGAAATGGTCCTAGTAGAGTCAGTGGAATTCTACTGTTAATGAGATGTAGAGACTTTTAGCAGAAGGTAGGTACTCCAAACGGATTACAGCATGGTGGCCTCGGTCTAAAAGGAGAATCCCACATTGTTGGGAATCTCAGTGAAGTTGTGATCTAAATTCTGTATAATATACCAACAGAGATGGATGTTTTATGGAACTAGCTTTGCTTCTAAGTGATAACCATAATATTTTTAATATAAGACGTTGAGGCAATCTATTTTCTCTAATTACTCTTAAGTAATTAGTCTGTATTTGTCCACATTAGCATACAGTCACTAATTAACCAGACCTGATATTGCCTTTGCTCTTGATATTAATATCTAATCACTCCACATCAGGAAGGCTGCAAATATGCTATATTTAAAATAGTGATTTTAATGTTTTATAAGTCAAAATGTTGTTTTCTAAATCGGTTATGAAGGAGGACATACATTCTGGGAAAATTTAAATGGGAAAATTAAATAAAACCATTTTAATCAACTCTGTTTTATATCAGTTCATCAACTTGATAGGTCCAGCAGAACATTCTGATCTGGGTCAGTGGTAATCATTTAACCTTTGTGGGCTGGCTAGGAAAAAATATAACTGTCCATAGCCCCATTTACACAACCCTCTGAAAACCACTCTTTGCCGAGCTTGGATCAGTTAACCGTGCCAAACTAGGTTCCTTATGACCGTTTAAACTTTACGCTAGTACGTTCCTCGCCTCCTAGTGATGATTTATGGTACTACTGCTCTCTAGGGAAACAAGCATAACATTCAGGAAGTTTGATTTTAATTGTGATATTTCCTTGTTTGCGAAGAGTAATGCGAAGAACACAGCCGTTGGTGAATTTACTTCACAGAGTCCGCTTTGGGAAGTGAATACGACAAATTATAGTCTAATCAGGGCATACAGACGCAGGAAATGATGACAGACATTGATGTTCAGAATCATCGCTGTAAATTGTGTAGCACAATAGGGAAGCTCATTATTTTATGAATGTCTAAAATTTCATGATTACGGAGGCTGACTGTAAGGAGATGACTCTGTCTGCTCATGCGCTCTTTGTTATTTGAGAACCAAGCCAGAACTAAACCGCGCTGAGCCCTACTGTTGAACTAGTACCATGTTAGCACGGTTCGGTTGTGTCTGGCGTGGTCCGGTTCAGTTGTGCAAGTCATTTACACTCAACAGTTATCTCTGTTACTGTGCTCGGACGGATCTCGGTATGGTTTATGCACACAGACTCTTCTCCCTTCTGCCCTCTGGGAGGCGTTACAGAAGCATACGGACTAAAACCACCAGGCACCGGAACAGCTTCTTCCCCACAGCTGTCACGCTTCTGAACGCCTCATGACACGAACTATAAGGACTGTACTCCCATCCCCCTACACAACAATAACCATGGACGCTCCTCACACATACCACAAACTGCTTCCTCACACGCATTCACAATCCGTGTATATAATATGTCAACTTGTACCATACATTATAACCCCACTAATATAT